CGATCAACCGCGAAATCCAAACTACGAGAAAGATATCGTTTACGTGACGAAATACCTCAAGTGGATTTTAAATTTCATTGGAATATGGCCAGCAATGTTAAAGGGGATCGGGAGATTTTTACCAAATGTCGCGATCGTGCTGAGTAACTTGGTGCTCGTTTTCTTCGAAGTGCAGTGCGTTCTACACATCACATTGGAACAGAAAGACCCTGTGTTAAGAATGAGGATCATAGGATTGGCTAACTATACTTTAGTTTGTCTAATGAAGTATTGGGCAATGACGATGCGCAAATCAAGGATCAAGTTCTGTATCGAAGAAGTATATACAGACTGGAAACAGGTTAGTCGGGGTATTCGTGACCAAAAAGTGGAAAAGTGATGCTGTCGTATCAGGACACTTTGTATACATTTACTGAAAAATATATCATTTTTATATTGTAATTAGTACCCTGCAGGCAGATAATTGTATGAGATAAAAATTTTGCGATAAAATACCTACAAAGTAAATAGCAGAAAACATGGCAGGAGAAGGTGAATATTTTTTTTAAATTTTTATTACACTCGTATCACGTTTCCACTGAGCCACTCATTCGCGGAACAATGAATTCTCCTTCGAGAAAATAGAAATTTTTTTGTATCTCGAAAAGACGTAAGAAGAACCAATCACTGTACAGGTGGAACATCAAAGGCATCGTACGTTGATGCTAAAATACGGGAAAATTGGAAGGGATCTGACTATGTATTGCGCTGTTTTCGTGTACTGTGGCAACATATTCTACATCGCAATTTTGCAATATACAGTGGGATCGCAAATAGACGCTGATAATCGTACGATCAGAATACTAATGTATCCTATGTATGGTGGACTTTTCGATGTCCAAGAAACTCCTACCTACGAAATCGTGTACATTCTCCAATGCATTTGCACAATTATGCTCAACACCGTGACAGCAAGTTGCAGCGGATTGGCTGCGCTTTTCGCAACACACGTCTGCGGACAGATCGACGTCATCATGTCTCAGTTAGACGACCTGGTCGATGGGAAATTTTCCAAGAAAAATCACAATTCGAACACTCGGCTGATGAAGATCGTGCAACGTCATACGAAAATGTTAAAGTACAAAGACGAAGGTAAAGTAAACCGTTCTCTATCACTGATCAAAAACATATCGCGTGCTATTGTAGATTTTCTGCGATGGTTGAAACGGTTCTGCAGGAAGTGTGCTTCTTCGAATTCATTGGCTCCACGCTTGAAATATGCTTCCTCGAGTACTATTGTTTAATGGTATGTTGTGTCTGACTTATTTATGATATTTCTGGTTACTATGAGTTCATAGTATTTTCACATGCCTCCAGTAGGATTGGCAACAGAGTAATAAGTTTGGTGTGATGACATATTCGTTCCTACTAATATCCGTCTCGTTCAATCTGTTCTTGTTCTGCTATATTGGCGATTTACTAGTAGAAAAGGTAGTTGCATTATATAAAATGGCCACTGAAAGACTGAATGACATTAAACGAAAGTAACTTTTACAAACACATATTTTTTTTTTAATTTTTGATTATTTTATTTGGAAATATAATTGATGGATTTTTTTTTCAGTACCATGTGTGAAAAAAACTAAAAAAAAGTTTGAAAACGAGCAAGTTGTGACTACTTTTTCAAACCCTTCAGTTTTTCAATGGCCACCCTATACTTGGCTATATATGAAAATCTGTTGATCAATTTTTGTTCATTATTTATTTCTTGTACTATAGAGTGCCAATATTGGAATATCATGTTGCATGATCGATTGGTATCGCTTACCGAGTAAGACCACTCAAGGCATCATTTTAATTATCGCCATGTCAAGTAACCCGATGAAAATTACCGCTGGTGGAATAGTTTACATATCCTTGCCAATTTTTGGAAATGTAGGTGCTTACAAATACTCCGTCTATGTTATCCAATTGAAAATGTACGCAAATTCATGTATCGAGAGAATTAAACATAATTTTATCTCCGCAGGTTTTGAAGACGTCATTCGCGTATTTGAACTTCATTCAGAATGCAGTTTTGTAATAATTTAATAATTAGTCCGATTTAATTATTTATGTATTTAATTATAGAATAGTCAATAAAACTATGTAGTATAAGCATTATTTACACGTATTATAAATACATACGTTACTATCCAAACTTTTTCAACGGAACAAAAATTGGAGAAGCGCCAAAGGAAAGATATTATACGTACGACAAAGTACTTCGTTCGTGCCTGCTGCTCCTAAGCTCTTCTACTTCAAATATTTTCACTTATGTCCAGATAACAAGAAGCTGACAATAGCCAGTCTCTCGAGTCATGCAAAATCACGATTGTCGAATTTACTTGTTACTCTCTAGGACGGAGTAAGCTGCAGTTTCGCAGAACGATGTGAAAAAAAAAAAACGAGAAAAGAACTTGTGCACAGAGAGAAAGTTTTAGACTCTATGGTATCAACATTCACGTTATAATTTCAGGCGTTTGCTACATTGATGAGTGATAATCGATTTCGAAGTTTCGCAAGGCAGATACACGCACGCGATGTCATAAGCCTGACGACCTTGCAATCAATGCTACCCGATCGTCGTAAGCAGTTGTCTTCGAGCTGTCCACGAGCATGCACCCCTCCGTTCAGAATCACGCCGATCAACCGCGAAATCGAAACTACGAGAAGGATATCGTCTACGTGACGGAATACCTCAAATGGATTCTAAATTTCGTCGGAATATGGCCAGCAATGTTAAAGGGGTTCGGCAGATTTTTACCAAAGATCACTATGGTACTAAGTAACTTCCTACTCGTTTTCTTCGAAGTGCAGTGCGTGCTACATGTTACATTCGAGCAGAAAGATCCTTTGTTAAGAATGAGAATCCTAGGACTGGCTTGCCATTCATTGGTCTGTCTGCTGAAGTATTGGGCACTGACGTTGCGCAAATCAAGGATCAAGTTCTGTATCGAAGAAGTATATGCAGACTGGAAACAGGTTAGTCGGGATATTCGTGACAAAACGTGGAAAAGTGATACATGCTATTGTATCAGGACACTTTGTATATATATATATATATATATATATAATTACTAAAAAATGGGGTAGGATATATCATATATTTTATATTCTAATTAATACTCTACATCGGAAGATGATATTAAATTTGTAATTTGAAATATCTGCAGAGTAAAAATGATAGAAAACATGGTAGGAGAAGATAGATGTCTTTCTAAATCTTTACACCTGCGTATAATATAATATTTTATTATATACAGTTTTACCTCACTTAATTGTTACATCACTCGTACCACTTTTCCACTGAGTCAGTCAGTCGCGGATTAATTCAATAGAAATTCAATAGAAAAGACATGAGAAACATCGACCACTGTACAGGTGGAACTTCAAACAGATCGTACATTGATGCTAAAGTACGGGAAGATCGGAAGGAATCTGACAATATACTGTGCTCTATTCGCGTACTGTGGTAACATATTCTACGTCACGATTTTGCAATATGCGATAGGATCGCAAATAGATGAAGATAATCGTACAATCAGAATACTAATGTATCCTATGTATAGTGGGCTGTTCGATGTCCAAAAAACTCCTATCTACGAATTCGTGTATGTTCTTCAATGTATTGCCACGCTTATACTCAACACCATGACAGCAGGTTGTTGCGGATTGGCCGCACTTTTCGCAACACACGCCTGTGGACAGATCGACGTCATCATCTCTGAGTTAGGCGACCTGGTCGATGGGAAATTCTTCAAGAAAGATTGTCATTCGAATAATCGACTGACGGAAATCGTACAACATCACATAAGAGCATTAAAGTACAAATAACGAAAGTGAAGTAAACGTTCGTACATCGCTAATCAAATATATATCACGTACTATTGTAGATTCTCTGCGACGGTCGAGACTGTTCTGCAGGAGGTGTGCTTCTTCGAATTTATTGGCTCCACGTTTGTAATATGCTTCCTTGAATACTATTGTATAACGGTACGTTCCTCTTGTCCCTTTATTTGTTTGCCTATTATATGTAGCGTTTCTGGTTTCTATGTATGGTATTTTTCATGCCTCTAGTAGGATTGGCAACAGAATAATAAATTTGGTGTGGTGACGTATTCGGCGATACTAATGTCCGTCACGTTCAATCTGTTCTTGTTGTGCTATATTGGCGATCTGTTGATAGAAAAAGTATATATTTCCATTACAATATATAAATATTGATCGTTTCTTTGTATTATTTATTTTTTTATATTTTTGTATTATATTTTTTTATATTTATTTACATATATAAAAGTAATACAAATATATACTATATATTTGTATTATTTTTTTATTCTTTATATATATTTTTTATTATTATAGAGTGCCAATATTGGAATATCGTGTTGCACGATCGATTGGTACCGTTTACCGAGTAGGACAACTAGAGGCGTCATTTTAATTATCGCCATGTCGAGTAATCCGATGAAACTCACCGCCGGTAAAATAGTTTACATATCTTTGGCTACTTTCGGAAATGTAGGTTTTTTATAAATATATCGTCTATGTCTTGCAATTGAAAATTCATGCAAAATTGCATAAATTTGTCGAGAACTAAACGTAACTTCATCTTTCCAGGTTTTCAAGACGTCGTTCGCGTACTTGAATTTCGTCCGGAATGCCGTTATGTAATAATTTAACAATTGTCCCGAATTTATTATTTATATATTTAATTATAGAATAGCCAATAAAATTGTAGTATAATCACTATTTTCCCGTGTTTTCAAAAAAGTACTTAATAAATATATTATAGTATTTTATGAATAT